GGCGCGGCTCAGGCGGGCACTGGAAACTGCGTTTGCAGGTGGTTGGTCCGTGCCTTCCCCGCCGGGAGGGGGCAGCCCTGGCTTTGCCCCTCTGCCCTGGTGGCGCAGCCCACTCCATCCCCAGGAGGACTCTGCAGCCCGGCCGCTTCTGTCCCCTGCTTCCCGCAACTGAGGGCCTGGGGGCATCAGGCAAGCAAACACTGGAGCTCAGGCCCCAAGTGGCACAGCCAGGATGCATGCATGTGGGACGTGCTAGAGGCCCAGGGTGTCCCCGCCTCCAGGGCGCAGGCAGCGTTGGTGTGTGCTATCTTTCCTCAGGCCCCTAGGGATATAGTTGTGGCCACGGTGGCATGCAGGTGATTCTTGCTGTTTTTTTAGAAGAACAGATTACTTTTGTATTATGGCGATAAATTTTTAAAAATTATCTCAGAAGACCCACATTTCCTGGTGGTGATTCAATTAAAACCTCCCCCGACCACCCCCTAAGGCAGCTCCTGTGCAGCTGAGACCTCCTTCCAGTCTTTAACTCACACTGGACTGCACACAGCCTCAGCCTCCTGTCTCACTGCAGCTGCCAGTGTGCCACCACTCTCCTCTAGAACCACCTGCCAGCGCTTACTCTTTGGATGCCAGGTCCTGGTATAAAGAAGTACTCTGCAGTGTTCTTGGGTTTCTAAGGCTTTGCTTAGTTTGAAAATACTTTTTAAAAAGAAATCTACTGGTTAGATTTGTTGTCTCACAAAAATGTTTCTAGAGATTATTTTGTTCATGAACATTTTCTTTGTCATGCTGATGACCAACTTGATTTTGTCTACAGATGTTAGCCTCTCATATTTTTTCAATAGAGATTTATTCTATTTACCAAGTTATTGTCTTTTAAAGGTACTGAGGGTTGAGTTGTGTAAATCAGGTGACATAAACATGAAAATCATTTGCCTAAATATTTTTGTTAACGTCAAATAAATACTTTTTCCTGGAAACTTGTGTTGGAATTCCTTGAGAAATGTGCAGAGACTAAGCCGGAGCCGAAGGTCTGCTCACGTCGGGGGTGGTGTCGGAGGCGGGGACAGTGAGGCGCGGATGGCACCGCGTGCACC